TACTTTGCTATAATTTACATCACTCAGGGGTGTTAATAATCCATACCCCTGAGAGATGTAAGTTATATTGATTGACCTAAGTGCCAGTGTAGGCAGCGCTACATCAGTGGCAGAGTTTCTCCCGCTGACATAGCTACTGACTCTCACAGAGGCAGGAGTTAAGCCGATGGGAGAGCGCTCTCCCATCAGCTAAGAGCATCTCCACCATAAGCGCTACAGCTGTCGGTGCAGCTGTGCCACTGTAAATGCTGTAGCATAGATGTTGCCATAGTAGCTTGACACAGAAACGCACCCCCAAAGTTATGAAATTCTGCTCTTCTCCCTCCTTCAGCACAGCACTCTCTTGAACCATCATTCGTTTGCCTTTGCCAAAAAAAATTTTCACCTAGGCAGAGCCCTCCTGTGATATCAATGGAAGTCTGAGCAACCTATGACAGAGAACTTTCAAACCTCATAGGACTAGAAAAGCAATGTTCTGTTCTGGTTTGTTGTATTTGCTTTTGTCTTGTATTATGGAAGTGCTAGTGGTGACTCTATAATGAAGGATGACTTGAGATTTTTCAATTAAAGAGGAATGAAATTCCCATTCCACATTTTAGTGCTTGAAATGTCCAGGGTCTCAATCCAACACGTACTTATGCACACAAGTAACTACACACATTAACAGTCCATTGAACACCTTGGGTCTACACACATGTAAAAGTTATGCATGTTCATGTTGCTAGGATCAGGGACTACATTTGTAAAAAAGATTTGTTGCAGAGGCATCTTGTGCCAAATAGTGTCTATTTTACTAACCCCCACAGCTTTGCTTCAGTGTTCAGTGACAGACAAAAGGCACTTACTACCTTATATAGTATTTGGCCATGAGCAATATCCCTTAAATAGTTTGCTTCAAATTCTTTAAACATTGGTGATAGCATATAGTTTACTCATCAAGAGGGGAAAAGGCTTTCAGAAAATTAAAAAATGTGTTAGACCCATCTTTACTACAATGCAAATGGAGTTTTTGAAAATCAGATTTAAGAACATGGCAATTGATATTTCATTCTGCATTGCTTAGTGGTCAGAATAAATGGCTTCCTATCTTCAGGCAACATTTTTCACCTGATACGTCAGGTTTTTAAACAACAGTGTAAGCAGAAGAACAGTTTGTGTAAGTAAATGAACCGTGTCAGTGACTGTAATTCAGTCAGCATTGAAAACATGATCAAAATGTATTAAATTATTTGTGATAGTTTCTCTCGGCAAGAAGACAATTCTATTTCAACAACAACAAAATTAACTAGAATATGAAACTGAATAATAATGAAAATGTCAGGTCCCTTTAAATAGTATCTGAGTGCTAAGATTCTCTACATCTTAAGTAGAATTTCATTCTGGAAGAACTAAGAAAAGTAATTTGTGTTTAAATCTACAGTGTTTCAAAAGGGTTGCTCTACAGGTAGATTAAACAAAGAAACCCAGGACAAAGAATCCATCTATATAACCATTTTCAAACAGGCAACACATTTTACACAACATAAAAGACAAGCTCCTACATTATGTGATAGCTAAAAACTCTTGTATTGATTCCTAAAACTATTGACTTAATTTTATCAAAATGTATTTGTTCACCTCTGCTGCATCAATGATCTTCTGTATTTTATATGTAAATAATCTATTCTATTCCCTTGATCATGTTAATCTTACTAATGACAAATTACCATTCTTCACATACAGTTCCTAGATTTACAAATTATCACTCCTGCTTTCAGGGGACTGAGAATCAGCCACGCTTGCTAATGCCTCCATGGATCGCCTGACACATAGCAGATTTTTATATTCCTTTTTAAAGCATTCAGCTCATGAGAAATAATTTATAAATCTGGCTATCACTCGCACTTATCCTCTTACTGCTTGAGGGGGAAAAGAACAAGATCAAATTGGGAGGATTATTAACAATTTAAGAACTTTATTTGCTCCAGTTAACCCTTTTCAGGGAGGACTGCAAACTAAAATGCACTACTTTTTTTTTTTTTAAAGGGGGAGAAGCGGCATGTTTATTCAAGTGCAGCAGGGAACTTCCACATAACAGATTCTTGTCTCCAAATACACTTCCATTAGCTGATTTTTTAAAATTTCCATTCATGTAGTTTGTGGGTGTGAAACATTCATTTAAACCTAGAAGCTTGCTCTGCATCCTAGATCAGGGGTTCTCCACCTTTTTCTTTCTGAGGCCCCCCCAACATGCTATAAAAACTCCACGGCCCAGCTGTGCCACAAAAGCTGTTTTTCTGCCTATAAAAGTCAGGGCCAGCATTAGGGGATAGCAAGCAGGCACTTGTCCGGGGCCCCAGGCACAGGAAGCACCGTGAAGCTAAGTTGCTCAGGCTTCGGCTTCAGCCCCAAGTGATGGGGCTTGGAGCCCTGGGCTGCAGTGCTGCCTGGTGGGGCTTTGGCTTTCTGCCCTTGGCCCTAGTGAGTCTAATGCTGGCCATGCTTGGCGAACCCCTGAAACCTGCCCATGGCCCTCCAAGGGCCTGTGATCCACTGTCCTAGATAACATAACATGACTTGCACTATAGAATTAGAATTGTGACCAAGCAAGCAAGTTGAAAATTCAGACTGAGTGCCTGCTTCTCCCTTGCCCTTACACCTCTGCAAACTGAATGCAATGTGGGTGTAACATGATGCCAACCTGCTCTGACTACACAAGGTGCAGGGCAATGGAGAATCAGGTTCTAAAACTGCCCTTGGTTTTTTCCTTGTTATACTGTAAGGTTACAGCATGCAAATGGTCCAATGCAGCTCCCATTGCAGTTAGTAAGTGTCTTTCTATTTAGTTTAGTAGGAGTTAGATAAAGCCCATAGTAGTCAGCAACTTGTGTTAGTACCACACGTCCTGCATTAAGCATATAGAGGTAAAAATAGCCTACTAGTGACACGAAAGATCAGTGACATCTATTTTTCTTAGATTTTGTGTGCCAAAATCTCAGTTGTTCTACCCAGCAAAGTAAATGGGTTTGATGTAGTTAGGTTCATTGTGGTCAGAGAAGAGAGAGTCTCTCCTTGGATCACTGAATCGCATTGCTCAAGCACTATTGTAGCCTCATGCAGTACCTATATCAGAGAGTTTCAGATGATGACTCCATGTCATTGAAGATCCTCCAATCCACTCTCAAAACCCCTTTCCACAGCAGACCGTAAGGAGCCATTGACCTATGACCTCTCCCCTGCTCTCCCTGTAATTGTTATTGCTATAAGTGTAATGACACTATAGGGGTATATGGTTGACAGCTATGATTTGCTTATTAGTTTGAAACATGCATGGGGGCAAGTAGATGAACATAAATATACATGAGTAATTGGGATTATTAAGGTTGCTAAGGGTAACATTCTGTTGTATTAGTACGAGGCCTTGTGGGAGTAGTTATGCCCAAGGCTTGGATTTTGCTAAATTAGTGTAAACCTGAAGGGATAACCCTAGGCCATAATTCTGCACTTTCATCTGAAGAAGCAAACAAGTGACCATAAAGGGCACTGTACAACACAAGATTCCAGCAGATGGGAGTTTTGGAGGGATTTTTGCAACAAGGTTTCTATGCAGTATCTATGCAATTAAACCACATTGACACAAATTATTAAATATTAATTATTATGGTTAATTATGGATACCCAGAATGCCACAGATGAGATGGGGGCAGGAACTGACCTTATAATAACTGTGGTACCAGAACGAATATGGATATACATCCATGACATTTACATAATATGATGTATAAGACACCATGCCTAGTTCCTTTTCTTGGCTTCTCTTGGGCACTGAACTGGTGTCAACTGGATCTGTGGCCTTCTGAGGTGCTCCAAAACTGCGTCTTCATCCCTTTATTATTCTTCTTATCTCTCTTAGAGTGTAAGCATGAAATGTGTTTATTAGCCCTGTGAGGGAACCCAGGCCTATGGGTCCCTAGGAAGTGCCGAGGCCTGGACTGTCACCCAGCAGCTCACCTGAGTAACCGGAGGAGCACACAGTGAAGGGTTAGCTGACAGAGGGCTCCACCCCCAAAGCTCCTGATTGGAGGAAACACCCAGCCCCATGATTGGCTGAGGGGCTCTATATAAACCAGGAAGTAACAATAGCAACCTGTCTAGGCAATTAGATGAATTCCTGGCTGGCTGCTACAGACCCCTCCTGCTTGTCTCTGCTGAGCCCAGCATCCCTGCCTTTTCCTGGTTCCTGTCCTCCTATCCCAGACTCCCACCTACTCCCAGTTCCTGCTGTCCTGCCCTACTCCAGGTCCCTGTTCCTCTGCCTTACCTGTGACACTGCCTCCTGCTCCGACCTTTGGCTTGGTACCCGATGCGGTCTTTGGTTTAGACTCTTGGCTCTGACCACTAACTACAAGCAACAAGAAGTATCACCACAGTGTAATTACATTTTAATTGCATTGTAACCACAGTCACTGTGTTACAAAGTGCAACCCGCTTCCACAAAACCCTTGGCATCCTCAGGATATATTCATTTTGCCACACACCTTCTCTTCCTATTCTTCTTGCATCCCATCCTGCAATACCTCACATCTGGGCAGCCAAACAAGTTGCTGACTCAACTCCCAGCAGACATCAGAACAGTCTTCAAACAATGTTATTTAACTAATTTAAATGAAGTGTGTCTGTTGTGTCTTTTGCTCTTTACACAACAAATGTAATAGGAAGGACCACACAGGCTTAGTGGGGTCAAAATAACCATGTTTACTACAATACACAATATATAAGATCTAGTAATATATACACACATACCCCACTGCTCTACATCTAAACATAGAACACAGTGAGCACTACAAGAGGATTCACAAACTATTTAAAGACGCACTAACCAATTCATCTAGACTACAGGTTCAGATGTTTTGTAGTCATACTAGCTGACTCCCTTCCAGACAGCTAGAAGGATGGCCATATTCTCTACATGTATGCGGGCAATGTAGCAGTGTGACGGAAGTATTTTACAAGGTACATACCCGGTCATTGAATGGGGAAGGAGACAATGCTGGTACGATCGGTGACATTCTATCCCAACTCTTTCCAATACCTGTCAATTAAAATAAAGAATATTAACCTGATAATACTGGTAATTAATAGGCATTTTTAGAAAAAGGCCTTGAGGGTGGAAGGAGGAGCAGCCCTGGATCAATGAGGCTATCCTCTTCCCCTGCAGAAATGCATGTCTGGGTATGTAAAACAAGAATTAAAGGGAAAGGAGAGCCGAGGCTGTCTTGGCACCAAAATGGAATTTCATTACTTCATAACAAACTTTTAGGGGCAAGACAGCTTATTTCAGTACATTTTGAGCCCTCTGCTTCCCATGAGGGAGACAGGAGACTGATGAAAGCAAACTATGCTAATCAGGGAGTGCCAGGCAAGTGTAGCAGCCTGCTTCATAGCTGAGGCAGGGTGCTGTTGTAATAGAGTCAGGGGGAACTCTCTTGGCAGCATTGCCAAACTCAAGAGTTAAAAAGCAAACAAACCAAAATAAACCCAAGAGATTTACTTCCAGCCTGAAATGCACATGGAGCCCATCCACAGGGTATGCATCTCATCCTACATGCATACAAATGCAACATTTCATGTCCTAAAGAGAATAAGAGACGTACCTCAAAGTGGACATGGGGCATTCTCTGTTTGCCATTCAGGAATCAGACTCAGCCACCTTTCCAGCATCGCCCCTTGCAGCTGAGACCCATTCTGTTTTTGTCTGGGCTTAAGAGTCTGGGCAGCTCAATCTACTTTGAGCCTTGGCATACACATTTCTTTTTCCTATGTCCTTCCTCATTTCAGAGTAGAGAACTCCCTTCTCTGAAGTTGTCAATGCCATTTGGTCACTCATCGACTGCTGCAATACTCCTATAGAAGCAGGATCTACATAAAGAAATGCTCCTTTCAGTGAGATGCAAAAGCCATTAGCTGATGTTTAAAACACTACAGCTATAATAAAGCAACTGGAAGAGGGAAAAAAAAGAATTAGCAAAGAAAAGCTAGACCTGTAGCAGCTTCACCAAAGAAGCTATCTCCTGACTAGTGGAAATAAAACACTGAGCCAGACACTATGGTTTGTTGTTGGTGGTGGTTTTTTGGTTGTTTTTTAAAGGACAATTGCAAAGGCTTCTGGGAGCTTGCCAGGCTATAAAAACCTGGTGATTGCAAACTGAGGGCAACCGAAGAAAGGTTGTAGAGGAGCTTTCTAATATGGGCTGTAGAAGTTGTATTGCTAAAGTCTGCAATAGTGCAACCAGAGCAGAGGAAAAAGCTGAAGGGAGACCAGGATAGAGTCTCATGCTAAAGGATAGTTCTACAAAGGGGACTTAGGCTCAGCATTGTAATATCCAACATTGGGCTGCCCTACTACCTCGTAGACTCCACAGCCCAAAGTTAGGTGCCCTGTATAAGGCAGGGGGGAGACCTAGGGGGCCTCAGAAAAGGATTCACAGATACCAGCAAGCTGATCAGGGAGCAATAGGAAATGCTGAGAAGAGGGGTGTGGCCTAAGTCACAGCCTTCAAAAAGACTTAGGCAACTAAATCTAGGTTGGAGCGAGGCACCTATTTGGTTTGGGAGTCAACCTTGTAAACCCTCTCTTAAGCCCATCCTTGCTGTGGCTGGTGCTGTTGCCTCCCCTTTAGCCCAGTGGTTGGTGCCCTCTCCTAGACTGTAGGAGAATAAGGTTCAATACTCCCCGTAGCTGATGTAGGGCAGTGATTGGAATACGCATTTCTTACCTCTCTGGAGTGTGCACTAGTTGTTGGCTGTGGGGTATGCCAGTGGGACACAATCTCTCCTGTTGAAGCTGCTCCTCTTTGTGTAAATAATTAGTTACTGGGTCAGCTGAAGTGTGAGAATGTCTTTGCAGCTCAGGGGTTAGGGCATTCACGTGGGATGTAGAAGACACAAGTTCAAGTCCTTTTCCTATACATCAGATTACCAGCCCGGGTTCTGCAAGACAAAGAACCAACATGAGGTAACAGAGACATAACCCTGATAAAGCAATTTTAACTCTCTTATTGTGCCTGCAAAGCTAGCTTATGAGATAACTTTGAAGAGAAAAAATCAGGGGAAGAGTCTTGCATAATTTTGGGGCTTATCAATGGGGTAAGATGGAACTTGAATGACACCGATGTTCATATTTAGTCATGTTTATATCATAACTTGGACCACCAAATTCAGAAATAAACAGAAAGGTTAACTTATGTGTGTACTGTCCACTGCCAAGGTTGCTTAATTTGTGATAGCATCCTAGCTCTGACGACATAGCTCCTTGGGGTGGAGAGTAGCTCACTTGCCAAGATACGACTGATATCACCATCATCTGAACACACTCCTTGAGCTTTACTACTGGGAAATACTTAAATCCAAGAGGAAAAAAAACACTTCAGGGAGGAAGCCACCCATCACTCTGTATGTTTTTCCCCAAATGATTGAGTAAATTAAGTTAATGTGTAAAATAATAATAACAACAGTAGTTAATAATTTATGTTAATTTAATATGTTCCTGCCAAAATGCTAGGGGTGCACTACAACAGTATAAAAAGTAATATACTATAAGAAAAACATAATGAAATACCACCTGCTTTAAATACAAACACTTAGAAATTAATGGATTGGAAAGGAAGATAATAAATATAGGTCATCAGCTGTGGTCATTCTGCAAACATACTTGAATAGAAAATTGTGTGTGTGTGTGAGTGTGTGTGTGTGTTTAAAGTGGGATGGGAAGGGTGCAATTAGAGTAGAGAGAGTCTCATACTGGACTGCTCAATCCGTCAACCCCTAAACTATGAGTGGTGTCTGAGCATAGATATTCATCAGTACATGGCTTAAATCTCAAATGTAGCCAAGACAAGCACCATTAAGGACTTTAACAGCTAATAATGAAGTTGATCGATCGCTTTGTAAGACACCAACAAGAACACAGGATGGGTGTAAAATGACCATCATAGCTCAGACCAGGGAGGAATCATTCCACTACAACCAGAGCAAGTAGCAAGCTTTTTTGTCCCTAAGGGTGTGTTGCTATGCAGGTCATTATGGGATAATTAAAGGTGCAGGTGACACAAACTGCACAACTCAAAAAATCCTGGGTACTGTGTCCAGTATATAATTTTCCATGGAAAGGGCAGAGTCAGAAAAGAATACCAAGATTCCTTTTTCATTTATTAAAAAAAAAATTAATGGAGATATCCTATCTCCTAGAACTGGAAGGGAACTTGAAAAGTCATCAAGTCCAGCCCCCTGCCTTCACTAGCAGGACCAAGTAGTGATTTTGCCCCAGATCCCTAAGTGCCCCCCTCAAGGATTGAATTCACAATCCTGGGTATAGCAGGCCAATGCTCAAACCACTGAGCTATCCCTCCCCCCATATTCTGATCATATGTGATAGTTAATAATATGTATGTGATTCATCAGCAGATCTCTAAGCATTTCACAATCTTTACTGTATTTATCCTCACAATACCCTTGTGAGGTAGGGAAGTGTTATTATCCCCATTTCACAGATGGGAACTGAAGCAAAGACTAAGTGACTTGTCCACAGTCATCTCGTGTCAGAGCGGGGAATTCAACCCAGGTATCCCAAGTCTTAGGTTAATGTTCTATGCACTGGGCAATCTTTCCTAGCCTATATTAAAATCTGGAATGTGGTCTAGCATATCAGCAAACATTTCTAATATCCAGTGATGTAAGAAAATATGTAATGGGGTAGCCACAGAGTCAGGATTAAGCATAACATCGTGATTTAAAAAAAAGCACTGACACCAAAATTGGGAGCAGCAGTTCAGTAAGCACACAAGGCAGCATCTAGCATGTTATCAGAGCAAGGAAATCTGCAACAAAGAACAAAATGGTGTCCCAGCATAGTAACGACGACAAGGTCTGCAAGTCCCAGTGCTTACAAAGACCACAACAGTAATCTTGGCGCAACACGACCAATCAGCAGCAGCTTACTTGCAGAATTCAACAGGAAACCCTTACATTTATCAACTCACCTCCCTCATCAGTAAATGTCAGTGCACCCATAGAAGTTAGCACAGTGTTAATTTATCAGCAAATCGAAAGCAGAATAAAAATACAACTTCTATCTCCTTTTGAGTCATTTGTTTCCTTCATCTTTTTTTTTTTTTACGCTCAGTGATAAAATGCAAAAGTTTATAGCTTGAAATACTTATAGCTTGAAATACTATAAGGAAGAAAAAAAGAGACATTCACTGGGTAAACTCCAACTACATTCATATTTGGAAAGAGCATTTAGGCCCTGATCTTGCAATCTATCCAGTCAGGCAGACTTTTGCACCTACACAGCGCCGTATTAACTTCAGTGGTGCTCTATATGGGCACAGGTATCTGCCAATGAAGATCTGATTGCAGGATTGGGGCCTTGGTATTCTTATCTGAACACAGACAATGTAATACTTCTTATCCTGGGCTAAGAGGGCTGTCTCCAAAGCATTTGGGCCTGATTCTACTTCCCTTGTTTACACTGAGAAGCACTTTCATGAGTAGATCGAAACTCAACAGGATTTAAGTGCTACTCAACATGAATATTCATCTCAGAATCAGGCCCTACATTTGGGAGGATTGACCCTCCCCCCCCGCCCCCAGCCTTTATGTTTCCACTATCTAGTTTTCATTGATCTAGTTTTTTTTTTTTTAATTAATTAATTAATGGAGATATCCCATCTCCTAGAACTGGAAGGGACCTTGAAAGGTCATCGACTCCAGCCCCCTGCCTTCACTAGCAGGACCAAGTACTGATTTTGCCCCAGATCCCCAAGTGGCCCCCTCAAGGATTGAACTCACAACCCTGGGTTTAGCAGGCCAATGTTCAAACCACTGAGCTATCCCTCCCCCCCTTAAATTTTCTTTAAAGTTTCTTAAATTGTATTTCCTTAAATGTGTGCTGATACAAATAAAACAGTGTAGTTCCATGGAAGTCAGATCATTCAGGATCTCACCCTATCTGTTAAATATGTTCATACTTTAAAAGTAAATATAATTATAAATTGATTTGGTTTTGCACTCAAAACAAAAGAGATTAACTAAGTTTAATAAAATAAAGAAAATTAATAATGCCTTGTATTTCTATAATGATTTTCATCAGAGGATCTCAAAGCAGGTTAATTAAATATTAATTAATTACTCCTCTCAACATCCTTATGAAGTGGATAATATATAGGCAACACTTAATCCACCATTGAAATTCGGCCCATATGGATTGGTATGCAGAAGGTGATTAATAAGTGCATTAAAATACTGCAAAAGAGTTTAGAGCAGAGTGAAGAACACATATCTAAATGAATCTACAGGAGGTGGCATGCAGTGTAAGTACTACATGGTAATCAAGTAGTGTAATTAGGTCTTTAATAAACACAAGCGGTCAGAATGTTGGCTTTGCATCTCATCTGAAAAGCATCTGCCCTGGAGCCAATGTCCCTAACATTAGACTGGTTTAGTGTTAATACAAAGGAAAAGGTGTCCCTGCAAAGTCACCAACACCACATCTTGCTGCAGCACATCTAGACATTCAGTAGAAGTCTCTTCTTCAAGATTGATATGATCCTGCATGTGAGACATGCTGGAATCATTGATATGCATAAGATGTTATGAGAGATTCAGAACAAAAAGTGAAAGGAAAAAGTGAAGCACAACTTCCTGGCTAAATATTCTTCATGAGCCAGAAGTCAAAATTGTTCTTGATGCTGGTTATTAATGGAATACTTTTATGTTATGAGAAATGGAGATACATTTATGTTATTCTTGTGTGTTTTAAGTGTTCTAAAAGAGGGCAGTGGTCTTTTTTGGTGTTTTACTTTATAATAATTTTAAAAAATCAAAAATATTTACATTAAAGTGCATAACTAATGCAGGACACCATCTCTGATTATTTAAATAGCATGACTGTTTTTCAGCACCCAGAAGAAAATCACCAAAACAATTCACTGCATCCTAGAAATCTAATGCAAACTCTATCTGGAGAACATGTGAAATATGACATGCGAACATTTGCTCTGCTTGAGCATTCTGTACTTCAAGTCAGACCTGTGCAGGAAACAAAGATCAGAGCACCATTCTGCATGCTTGTTACCTATGGGTCTTGCAAAAAATAAGAACCAACTGTCAAGACTGAATCATCAAAGAGCAGATATTACTCAAACTGCTGTACTCAAATCATGCCTAAATAGTTTGCCTATGAGGGTAACACCAGAAAGATAAAGAATGAACAGTTAGCTTCATTCAATCCAATTAAAAATGTTGTGTAGGACAGTAACTATACATAAAACAAAAGGTCCTGGTGATAAAGTTGTGCTCTTTAATAAAGACCATTGAGTCAATTAATGTTTACTTAAATACTTGTCAATTGAAGAAGGAGCTGAGAAAACGATCAACATAACCAAAAGCTTGTGACACCAATTTGCATCCAGTTCCCAGTGCATGTTTTATTTATTTTCAATCAGGACCAATCAGGAAAGAAAATAATCAATGAAGTCGCAGTCATGAGTGGTATTCAGCCATCTGGGGGCCCCAGTATCTCTCGGCCTGCATCGGAGGCAAGGGAAATTTTTTTTTCAAGAGCACGGAGGAGCTCCATATGGTTGAGATCAAAGGTGTTGCTGGGTGCATGGTTCTGCTTTATTGCCAGGCACTGCTGTTAATTAGAAAACAAGATCAGAGGCAGTATTAAAATCCAATTAAATTGATATGAACAGATTGCCAAGTGATGTTCACTAATGTATAATTGAGCACCATGCAAATTTCGGTGGCTGCCTTTTGTTTTTTCCCCCCTCACTCTGGAATGAATGATGAAGCTATGAAGTTTTTCCTCGTTGTAAAAGATAAACAAGTTAATGCACTGATCTAGGGGGTATTGCTTCAGTGATTGATGAAAATGAGAGTGGAATATTAAAGTGTGACTTTTGGGGGCTTCTTTTATAATTTTATTTTCTTCTTCAGTCTTTTCTTTTATTATTATTATTGTTGTCTACAAGAACATGCGCAGATTCCTCAGCATTCCATCATTTCTGATACAGAGAAAGTTCTTTTGTAGATGGAGATTTGATTTAAACAATTACAAAACCAT